TTCCATAATTGTTTTCTCAAATAATCTTGCACACTCGGTCTTATTTTTTTTTTCAAGATATGTACGAGTAGAAAGCATGGAGGCGTATTGAAACATGGTCATGAAGTTCAGTTATTTCATATTTTAGGGTTTTCAAAAATTCTGAAAACATCACATTGAATAGAAGACCCAGAAAAGATTGGGAGTTCGACTCTGCTGAACTTGCCAATATTTCACGTTGAAATTCAAGGTCCAAAAATATTCCAAGAAATGAATAATTTTGTTCAAACTCGCTGCGATCTATTAAACACTGCATTCGGATCGAATCCCCTGTTCTTTTTTTTTACGGTACAGGTTCTAAAAAAATTGCCTAAATTTTCCACCTCAGAATGGATAATAAAAAATACCATGACTGTACAGTATTTTTTTAGCCAAGACCCACCAAAAACCCGTTAAGTGACTTAAGTCTCGGCTAACGACCACAATCCGTCCAGCAGAGAAATTTTCCTTGGCTCAATTGTAAATTGCATTATCGTATTCCAAGAATAATTTTAACGCTCTCTACAGCAAAATGTCGAAGACCAAAATTTGTTGTGCAGAATAAGTTGGACACGTTTTTGTTAGCCAGAGCAGCTTAGGCCTGAAACTAAATGTTCGTTAGGGGGGACGTTCGGAAGCCCAGACCCCAGACACGTGAATCTCTTGTGGGTTTATTAATTTATTCTCCTCTTCGGATGTGTATGTTTCACAAAATATGTTTCTGGGATTTTTTTTTCTTCAGCTTGATTCGAGTAATATTGGACACTGCTGAGGACCGGAATAGTGGTCGAGAACGAGCTCTCGCTGTGGAAAGTTGCGTGTGTCCCATGGGATACGAAGGAACCTCTTGCGAAGAGTGCGCTTTTGGGTACACGAGAGTGAACCTTGGTCGTTACCTGGGAACCTGTGAACCTTGCAATTGCAACGGTCATTCGAAATTCTGTCATCCGAAAACGGGGGTTTGTCAGGTCAGTTTAGAATTTTTTTTTCACCGATTTTTTCGCCTTTCAAATATCGCTGAATTTCATGAATTTCCTTCCACGGTTCCAGCTGCACCTCTACTGCAAAAAAAAAAATTACTGTTCGATAAATGACTGACCATGATGTTCTATAAAAGATACTGTGTGTTACCAAACCTAAAAGCTGTGGTTAAATTGCATTCAATGTGTTAAGTTTTTCAATGACGAAAAGAAGAAGACAAAAGCGAATTTATTCATTGCGTCGTCTCCCGAGCTCATCGATTGTGAGAAAATCGACAACTCTAATAAATTGGAAACCTGAGCCTTTTCGATGCTTGAAATTCGCGAATTTTTTCGCGAAGAAATCCAAAGCAAGTGTAAATTTGGATGTAATCAACCGCAAGGAACTTCTAAAAATAATACAGTACTTGCTCTGGTCGGTCACGCAATCATAAAGGTAGCACCGTACTTTTTTTAATCCAAATTTTCTCACGGCTTCTTATTCGAATGAGCTTGTGAGTCTTGGGTTCTTCTGGACCTTACTTACTGACTTACATCGTTACATGTCATACTTTTTTTTTTTTTTTAGAATTGTTTGCATGACACCACTGGAGACTATTGCGAGATGTGTTTGCCAGGATATGAAGGAGATGCAACTAGAGGAACTCCTGATGACTGTTACAGAGCAGTGCCTCGTTGCGATTGCGATCGACGGGGTTCATTGAGCTCCGATTGTCCTGGTGGTCAGTGTCGCTGCAAGGTAAGATTTATTTTCTGAAATTTTCAATTTCTCGGGAAATTTAAATGATTATTCATGGATGCAGTATTTACCTCATCTTTAAGCTGCCGGGCCGTTCTGGCTTGTGGAGGGAGGCCTTTCTTTTGAAATTAATTTTTTTTTTTACAATCGATTCCCAACACGAAGCCTATCAGGACTAAACGCTGTCCTTTATTGAGCTATAGTCCTATTATTGTAGGCATATCACTTTATAGAAGTGTATTTAATTCTCATAATCAGCTCACAATTTCATTTTTTATGATGATTTCATTTTTTATTTTTGGGGTTTATATTTTCCTGAAGAGACAGAAGTTGAGATTATCTTCCCTAACTTTTATGAAGCCAAGAAACTTTGCTTTTTATCAGATGGAAATTCTTCCAACAAAATTTACGTAACTCTTGTTGGAACGAAAAATATTCCGGCCTCTTATTTTAGGGGTTTATACTTTCCTAAATAGATAAAAGTTGAGATTATCTCCCCTAACTTTTATGAAGCCCGGAAACTTTGTTTTTTTTATCAGATGGAAATTCTTCAAACGATATATAATTGACGTAACTCTTTTGGAATGAAAAATATTCCGTCATTTCGGTTCGGAAGTTCTGATGAACTTCTGGATGTAAATTCAAGCAAAGTGAATGAAAAGGTTTTGTGTTTCTTTCCCGGAAAATAGTACGTAATTTTTTCCAAAAATAATTTATATTTTTCATGCGCAAAAATTTGACTTATCAGAAATCTCTTGGTGAATCTGCTTTGAAAAAATTGAATGAATCAACCAGAAGGAATTTAAAAATTCATTATGCTTCAATGATGCATAATTTACGTCCGAGGAAAAGTGCTGAGGGATCTTCATGGATTTTATGTGTCTTTCGGCCACTTTTCTTCGTCGAAACGAGTGTTTCCTGGAATAATTACGGGGGGAAATGCATGCAAACCGATCGGTTCTAGTCTGTTTGATTATTTTTACTTATTTTTTCTGCGATAGGAAAACGTCGTCGGAAGAAAGTGTGATTCCTGTGCACCGGAAACCTTCAACCTCAGGAGCGAAGACCCACTGGGATGCACTCCATGTTTCTGCGGAGGAGTGTCGCCAATTGATTGTTCGTCCAGCATGTTTTACAGAAGCTCAATTCCACTGCAAATCGCCAACGATCGACACGGCGTTATACTGCGTGGATTGTAAGCATTCAATGAATTTGAATCCGAATTTTGCAATAATCACGACGAGACTGCATGCTTTCATTGAATGATTTAAAAGGTACCGAGATGACACCTCAGTCGCCCAGGGCTTCGCGGTGAATCCGACGAGAAACGAAATTTCCTACTCTTTCCGGAGCGAGCCGACGACGTTGTACTGGTCTCTTCCGTCCGATTTCGCAGGAAACTTGGTACGTCATTGTCACACAGACATGATTGTTTTCCTCGAATTAATTGATGAAATAAATGTGAATTTAATTCGTGCCTCAATTTTGATTGTCTTTCAGTTGACTTCGTACGGGGGTAATTTGACGTGGACCCAGGGCGTGAAACTGCGCCGAGGACAAGTTGCGAGACCGGAAGTCGAGGCGGAAGTTCGTATTTCAGGCAACGGAATCGACTTGCTCTGGGTTTCTCGCGATGAACCCAAAAATCTGAACGACATTCGGACAGAAGAGGTATCAAATTTCTACAAATTTTTCTTTTCAAAATCTGAAAGAGTAATCGGTGCTAATTTGAGAAACTTTTCGTGCAGTTTTTATTTGTGTGAGGGATTTAGCGTTCTATTGAAATTATCGGCCGCACACCCCTTTTTGGGCACACGTTTGATCAAAAAATATTTGCAACCGGCAGAAGAATCGGATAGTATCGGAGAAAACTTTGTCTATCGCGTATTGAATATACATCAGGTGCTGGGCCCTCAACAATTGAATGCATGGGCCAGAAAAATGCATTGCACAGAGAGTTATTTTTTACTTATTTTTTATTACTTCGTTTTAAAGAGCCCATATATAAGATGAGTGAAACCTCTGGCTTCAGAAAAAAATTGTCCACCTTTAAGAAGCTTATTTGGTTTGTGTAATTGCCTTGATAATTCTGATTTCATGACGATTACATCTAAAATTAGTTCGGTATTCGAATAGCCTATAGTTAAATGCCAGGAAGTAACTCGGGAACATTCTATTGGTGTCTTGGGGCCTAAAATCGCATTAATGTTACCCTGACCACGTGATACAGTACTTATTCCTTTTGTTCGACTTCTCATCTTGTTGATCACATTTTTTATGCATGCAAATTTTTTTGCAGACTTTCCGAGTTGCTTTGTTGCCGAATGGTTGGAAGCGCAGCGATGGACAAAAGTACATCGACGCCTCGAGAATAGATTTTCTCAGTGCCTTGCATGACGTGACAATGATCCAGATTAGAGCAATCCTGGCACCGTCGACAGAAGAGGTTTCTATCCGGAATGTCGTTCTCGACACTGCCATCCCTCAGTTTACTGGACGGGAAGTTGCAGTTGACGTGGAATCCTGCAAATGTCCTTATGGCTACAGCGGATTGTCGTGCGAGGTCAGATTTCTGTCTTTGAAATATTGAAATAATCATTCAATTGTAATTCCACCTGGCAGAGGTTAAACGAAAGAAAAAAAATTGTCCAGAAGTTAAAAGGGCTCTTGATAAGTCACAATTATTTGAACACGTCGGTATTTTTCCTCTCTACATAATGATCATTATCACAGCTCAGAGTGAATACAAAAATAAATTACCGATTTGAAATAGCAGCGCAAAAGCTCAGTACAGTGAAAAATTTCAAATTTCAGTTGATTCAATCCGCTGATCTTTTCTAAATCCTACAGAGTACTGTACTTTTGAACATGATTTAAAGCCAACGAACTGGAAAAATTGAAAGAATAATGACGCCGATGTGTGTAATTGTTTGACAACTTACCCAATTACAATATATGCAAGATCATTCGGAGTTATATTCATCATACCCATTTGAGTCACGAAAGATCGGTGGTTATTAGACACAGAAAAATAATTAGGAAAACTTTATTCGATAAAAATTTTCATGTCGATGCTCCAACTGTTACAACTCATGCTAGAAAATTGTTTAATTTATTATTTCGACTTCCTCCTGCGGTACATAAATTATACGAAACACCGTAACTGGATATCTAAATATTTTCGAGATGGAATCAGAGTGTGTCTAGATGCTTCGAATGAAGCTTTTTAATACTGCATCACCTGATTTAAGAAATACAATTCAATACATCAAAATTGTTGAAGCCTTGCCCAAGGCCGGAAGCATGATTTTCGACTCTTGCATGAAATTACCGATGCAAAAATCCTGACCGCATCAGCTTTACTTATTCTGAAGATTTGTATTGCTCATTCAAATTTGGGAACCAGCTAAACATGGTTTCAATGTCGAATTTAGTTTTTGAGCTGGAAATGAACCACCTTTCACTTTGCTAATGTGTCGAAAACGCTCGCTAATGTCGAAAGAAACGTAATTAAAATAAGTTTCAAAATGTCTTTGCAGTCTTGTGCACAAGGGCATTACAGAGATCTTCGAGACTTGGCGAGTAGCGTTTTCGGAAGCTGCAAACCGTGTCCTTGCAACGGCAGGGAAGAATCCTGCTCAGCAGACTCGAGAGGACAAGTTATTTGCACATGCAAACCGCAATACACGGGAAGTTATTGCGAGGAATCCGGTGAGTGACTCAAAATTTTAAGCTTCATTTCATTTCTTATACGAAACACTGAAACATCAAACACTTATTCACTCGTCCGTGGTTTTTTTGTGTTGTGGTGATTTTTCTTATTTTTTCGTGCCTCGTCTTCTTCTCCTTCGCGAGCTCCGAGGGCATAAAAAAATGTTTAAAAAAATCGTGGCTTTAAAAATAAAAGCCGATTAACGTTTTGTGATTAAGAGCTTTGTTTCTGTTGCGAATATAAATTCCGCGTTGACAAGGAAATCCGATACGTTTACAGCAGCAGCAGGTGCAGCATCTTTAAACTGCGCCACGCGTTGATGTATACTCGTCACGAGTGACGAGCGCGTGTCAACGTGACGATTCAGAAGCTGTTTTGCGTTCTCACCAAACAAGACCATTTCACATTCACCTTTTCTGTGTCATTCGACATATAATCCCGAGCTTGCCTGTCGAATTTTGAGGTTTTGGAATCGCAAGGGTTGTTAATGTTTTTTTTTCTTCTTTTGAGTGGAAAAGTTACGTTTAAGAAATGGAAACCACGGGAATTGCGACGGCGGCTAATTTGTTCCCGCAAGCCATGCTGTTTTTGGTCAGCATCGCTGTACCGGGGATAAATCAATGCACCATAATCGGGGATATCGCGTTTTGTAATGGCTGTAATCGCACGGTGAACCCCGAAGTGAGAAAAGTAGTTTTGCAAACCGTGATAGATCTGAATGTCGAAGTTCCGTGCTTCACTGATTCATTCCCCAACGTGGAAGTGAGTTTTCCTTGCTGTTTCGTAAATCATGACACATTAAGCTGAGAGTATAATCAATATGGCTTGTTGACGCACAAAAAATAATAATTTGCAAGTGGTTCCTCGCTCCTGAACAAATGCCCTGTTACAATATCCACTCGAATGGACCGAGAGTTTATGGAGCTTGTTGGTACACGGAAACTGATGGAAATAAAACCATCATGAGTCTCGGTAAGTTTTTTGTCTAGAATAATGCTACTATACGGTAAAAGGGATGGTTCAAAATTTCTGTCAATATTCCCTAAAATGAAGTTCGTGCCGTTTTAAATTCTTCGTTTGAGAATCCTGCTAAACCACTGCAAACGGAAAATAGAAACGAGTTTTTTGTAACTAAGAAGAATCCTCTGTTCAAATGTTGAGGGTTTCCTTTCGGTTTCAGGCTAAAATTTGAACTTCTGGCGCATGAATTTCCTTTTTATGTCAACGCTTTTTCAGCACTTTCGAAATGAAAGTTTGTACGAGTTTTTACAATATTTTTCTCAATAGGAATAAATTTCTCTGATTCGGGATGTTGCTGCTAAGAAGATTTTCCATATATTTTAAAATATTTTGCAACACTTATCAGGCTGCCTGCAAGGTCATGAAAAGTGCAGGTTAACAAAATATAACAACAAAAGGCATTCTGAGCTTATTGTTTTCGTTACATTCAGACTCGTGTTACGACATTTTTATTCATTATCCATCCAATAATATACTTCGGCGAAAAAAGCCAAGTGTTGACAAAAATTATGAATCAATCCTTGTACATTGAGCGAAATATGCTCATTGTACATCGGAAAAGGGGTTTATTTTTTGCGCAATGTTCTGTAAAGCAAAGATTGCGGAGTTCGTGAAGAGGAGAAGAGGGCTTGGTTTTGCATGATTTTTTTTTTGCACGTTTGTCTGAAACACATTCTCTCGTTTTGCTTCTTTTCCTAACACCGTCTTCTGCATGTTTCCTTCATTCATTCATTTATTCACCATCATGCCGGAAATGGCCACGAAAAAAAATAACAATGTTTAGGGAGCATTTTTCTCGAGCTGACGCCAAGGAAAGTGCAGCTGCCTGCAGGAGTCCCGGTCAATTTCACGTGTCGTTCGAAAACAGACGAATATCTCCGAATCGATTTCGAGGTGTTGACACAGGAATTCGAAGTGTTGCCACTTTCCCGGCAATTCCAGAGATTCCCGTCACCAGGATCCGGAGAATTCATGTCGTCGGAAACAATTTCAGTCATTTTGCAGCCGAATTTTCGCTACTTGATCTGCAAGGCCCAATCAGAAAATGGGGTGATTCTCGCCCAAGCAGCGGCTGTCATTGAGACTGGTACAATCGAATGTTAATGATAATTGATAATTATCGCTGTCTCTGAGTATATCTTGAAAATACAGTAGAAACTTCGATTTTCATGGCAAATGCCGTTTAATGTAGCACCGCGATGGTTCATCAACTATTTCGGGTATTTGGAATATTTGTTTTTTTCAATGCAGGCAAAAAATTTAACGGCTATTCCACCATGACCTGAGGTGAAAAAGTTCCAAGTACAGTATAGCAACGGCAATCAAGCAAAAATCGAGTGCCAATTCATCTCCCAAACGTACTCATCGTGAGCTTCTCTTCAGAAAAGGATCGTTTCATTTATTTTTGTTAAAAGTAACGATTTTATAAATACCAATACTGATTTTTCATCATTGCTTGCTTTTTGCAATGAGTTAAGCTGCTCTTGTTTTATTTTTTTAAGCTTCCGTATGATGCTAATTGTGTTGGTCATTTCATATTCAAAGACTGAAGTTCTAGATCTTGTGAGCTGGAGGCAGCGGCTCATTTTAAAATTGAAGTACTGTATCTGATTTTGTTACATCTGATGATCTGATTGGATCGGCATTTGAACGTTCAACTACAAGGAATGCATATTTAGTCATTTTGATTAATTAAAAATTAATCTTGGCAGATTAATTGAAAAATCTGGAGCTTCTCCCGTGATTTGATAATTATTCAGGCAAAATTTGCTGCAAATTCAGGCATAAATTCATCCTCGTTAACTTGGAGGAAATTCTCAAAAAATTTCCCTCTACGAATTATTGTGCATGACTCATTTGAATTTCTTTCAAACGATATTTTTTTGCATGTTTTCTGACACTCTGCTCAGCCTACTTCTGGGATTTATGTGTTATTCTTAACACGCTTGACAAACAGACTTACACATGGCTTTTTACACATTCATACACATGGAATCTATGAATGGCGTTTTGGAGAGGGAGAAATTTGCCACGATTATAAAGTTATTTTTTTACCGTTGTGCGGAAAATTAGGAGTACCAGGGATTGATCAACAAGGTATCCCTCCCTCGGAAGAAACCCCAACGATCAGTGTGACAATATCGGAACCGATTCTGGCAATCGTGGAAGTTGGCAAGACAGCGGAATTCCGATGCAATGCTCGCAGTCTTTCTGCTGGAAGACCTGTAAGTTTTCCAATAATGTGATGATTGAACTATTCCAGGGTTTGTTGATTAAAAAAAAAACCCCTTATGATGATTCAGGATCGAATTACGACTTCGTGGACGAAAGAAGGAGGAGAACTTCCTCCGGGAAGATCCAGAGACGATGGTACGGGACTTTTGATCATCACGAGTGTTCGAGTCTCTGATTCCGGAACTTATGTCTGCACTGCGACGGACTCTGTGACTATCACTCAACGCAGAGCCGTTCTTACTGTTGGAGGTACGTGTAGAAAATTAATTGTTGCTTTGAAATGTATTCCAGGAACCGAGAAAGTACTGTAGTTTTTTCTGTATAGTTCCAACGCCAGCAGTCCTGATAGTCCTGATCCCACGAAAATCGTATGTTATCATCTCATGCAGTTAAAATTTTGAGAAATGAGACTGGTACAATCGAATGTTAATGATAATTGATAATTATCGCTGTCTCTGAGTATATCTTGAAAATACAGTAGAAACTTCGATTTTCATGGCAAATGCCGTTTAATGTAGCACCGCGATGGTTCAACAACTATTTCGGGTATTTGGAATATTTGTTTTTTTTTTAAGCAGGCAAAAATTTAACGGCTATTCCACCATGACCTGAGGTGAAAAAGTTCCAAGTACAGTATAGCAACGACAATCAAGCAAAAATTGAGTGACAATTCATCTCCCAAACGTACTCATCGTGAGCTTTTCTTCAGAAAAGGATCGTTTTATTTATTTTTATTAAAAGGAACGATTTTCTAAACACCAATACTGATTTTTCATCTTTGCTTGCTTTTTGCAATGAGTTAAGCTGCTCTTGTTTTATTTTTTAGCTTCCGTATGATGCTAATTGTGTTGATCATTTCATATTGAAAGACTGAAATTCTAGATCTTGTGAGCTGGAGGCAGCGGCTCATTTTAAAATTGAAGTACTGTATCTGCTTTTGTTGCATCTGATTGGATCGGCATTTGAACGTTCAACTGCAAGGAATGCATATTTAGTCATTTTGATTGATTAAAAATTAATTTTGACAGATTAATTGAAAAACCTGGAGCTTCTCCCGTGATTTGATAATTATTCAGGCAAAATTTGCTGCAAATTCAGGCATAAATTCATCCTCGTTAACTTGGAGGAAATTCTAAAAAAAATTCCCTCTACGAATTATTGTGCATGACTCATTTGAATTTCTTCCAAACGATATTTTTTTGCATGTTTTCTGACACTCTGCTCAGCCTACTTCTGGGATTTATGTGTTATTCTTAACACGCTTGACAAACAGACTTACACATGGCTTTTTACACATTCCTACACATGGAATCTATGAATGGCGTTTTGGAGAGTGAGAAATCTGCCACGATTATGAAGTTCTTTTTTTTTTTACCGTTGTGCGGAAAATTAGGAGTACCAGGGATTGATCAACAAGGTATTCCTCCGTCGGAAGAAACCCCAACGATCAGCGTGACAATATCTGAACCAATTCTGGCAATCGTGGAAGTTGGCAAGACAGCGGAATTCCGATGCAATGCTCGCAGTCTTTCTGCTGGAAGACCTGTAAGTTTTCCAATAATGTGATGATTGAACTATTCCAGGGTTTGTTGATTTTTTTAAAAACCCTGATGATGATTCAGGATCGAATTACGACTTCGTGGACGAAAGAAGGAGGAGAACTTCCTCCGGGAAGATCCAGAGACGATGGTACGGGACTTTTGATCATCACTAGTGTTCGAGTCTCTGATTCCGGGACTTATGTCTGCACTGCGACGGACTCTGTGACTATCACTCAACGCAGAGCCGTTCTTACTGTTGGAGGTACGTGTGAAAAATTAATTGTTGCTTTATTTACATAAGGTCCTTGGCTCTTTCATGACATCAAAAAAGACATATCAAGGTTGCGGTCGTCAGGACTATCAGGACTAGGGTGCTTTTAGCATACAATAGTAGAGTACGTCAATTTTAAAACTCTTTAACAAAATAATGCTCTAGCTAAAAATTCAGTTCAGCTAATGCAGCTTCGACCGAGCAGGTTTCAGTTTTTGTCCGTGCTTATTTTCATTCTGATATGATTCAAGCGGAAGTTCATTTTATTTTTCAAAATTTCATACGAAAAAGTTTGGATGAATGAGAACAAAATGAAAAGTTGCCGTACCAACTTTTGCTGTGCGTTATTCATTTTGGGAATGGTTCTCCATATTTCGAATAGTCCTGAATATAAAGTCGAATCTCGTTACAACGAATCTCGTTATAAAAAAGTATTCCTTACAATGAATTCTTTTTCATGTCCCTACACAATAGATGTACTGTAATTTTATTTAAATCGCTATATTTCTATGCAACGGATTTGTTTTTACTGTATAACGAACCATTTTTTTTATTCCAGGTCCCCTTTCCTTCGTTGTAACGATCTTTTACTGTATTTCGAGAGCATAAGCGATTTTTTTTCTGTTGGGTAAATTCTGGTTTTTTTCTGTCATACTCCAACCAAGTACAGTATCTTAATTTTGGCGGATTTCGCTGTCAGTTGCATATTAATCGTTTTAATTTCACCGTTGGGATTTTTTTGCCTTTTTTTGTTATCAAGTGAAGCTAGTTTAGGCTGAACCCGATTTTTAGAGTTGTATCAGTTATTACGCCAGCTCATCCCTAAATCATTTTTTATAACATTTTATAACTATGTCAAAAGACCATCGTCATGTGCCGGAAAAAGCGCCTAGTAACACTTTTTCTGCGGAGGTTTAGTTCCAGGATATTTTGAAAGAAGAAATTTCTAGCGTAAGAATGAAATTGAAATCTAATCGGTTTTGATTTCGTGTACAGTACTGTACTGATTGTATAAGTCCAACTTCCTCTATGGCCATCGTCCATTGAGCGCTATCTCGTTGTTCATCTTTTGTAGCAGCGACATCTGCCCCGCCGCGAGCAACCATTACCCCGCGGTTTGTGGACATCGCTGCCGGGGAGCCAGTAGAATTCCAATGTGCAGCTGAAGGTTATCCGACCCCGAAGGTCACGTGGAGCAGGGCAACAGGTTCTCAAATGCCACCCAGTGCCTACATTCGCGACGGCATATTCCGAATTCCGGCTGCATCCAAATCCGACGAAGCCGAGTACTTGTGCACAGCGTCCAACGTCGAAGGCACCGACATTCAAAAAACATACCTTTACGTTCGAGGAGGTATGTGTATGGAAACCGGCTCAGAAAGAAAAAAAGGAAATTTTTTTTTTAATGCCCACAGAGCAGCCCGACTGCTCTTTTATAATTCCCTTGCGGAAAATCGGAACTATGACATTTTTGCGCAGAATAAGAGAAGGTCACTTCTGTCGAGCATTTAGAATCGCTCTTCTCCGTAATAAATTTTTTTATTCTGCGAATTTTTATGCTTCTAAATTACGTGTAAAATGCTTTTCAAATTCAAGAATAAAACGTACTGTACAGTGTAAATCGCACTCATTGGTGCCCTACCTTACTGCATTTTAATTTTGCATGGGATTTTTTTTCGTGTTTTAGAAGATCGACCAGACCAGACGCTACAGGTTTATGTGTCACCAAATACGGTGGATGTGCGTGAAGGAGAACCCATACGGGTTTCCTGTCAATCTTCTGCTGGGGGCGCAACATTGTCCTGGAGCAAGAGTGACGGTCCTTTGCCACCAGCAGCATCACAGGTGCATTCACAATCATCCGGTTTTTTTTTTTTTTTTTTGCTCACTAATGATGCGAAAAATGCACACGAGCGAGGAACCGTCATTATACTAGGAAATGCGAGGGAAAATTGCATACGTTTGGTCGTATGCTTCTAAAATTGGACGTCTCTTCTAGATATAGTATAAGAGATAACTTTTTGATTATGAACCGAGGCTCACAATTTTTGAATGTAATTTTTATGCAAGGATCTCAGTGTTTTGAGTACGAAGATCAGTCCCTTTTCGCGTCAAAATATTGCAAAACAAACGAAAACTGAGATTCATGAATAGCTGAAATAGAAAGACGCCTAGGTGTTAATAATGGGAGAGGTGAACCTTGTACGGAACAACTTTCGCAACATTTTCAATTAGTTCATGTAGAATGTGCTCTTTTACTATTGTACCAGGAAAATCAACAAAATTGATATTATTGAAGAAATTATACTCTTTCTCATCTGTACGCTCTTCAAATGCCATTCTGTTTGTATGTAAACGTCTATATAGTGGAATTATGAATGAATGAATGAACAGTTTCGAAATAAAAGGCGAAAAGTCGCAAGTGTTTCAAGTTAGTTGTAAGGGTGTAGGTTTGGGGGAGGGGTGGGTTGGGTTTAGGTAAGTATAACCTTAATATATTACCTTGAAGGAATTTCACTTTTTGAATTTAGCGGCTTTTCTAAGTGCTGGTGTGAAAATTGGTGCACTGCTGTACTGAATTTCGGTCTACGATGTTCATTACATTCCTGCGTCTCGCTAATTATATAATGGAACTTCCTTAAAGTGAAATTGAATTTAGCGGCTTTTCTAAGTGCTGGTGTGAAAATTGGTGCACTGCTGTACTGAATTTCGGTCTACGATGTTCATTACATTCCTGCGTCTCGCAAAGTTCGAAGAGACACGAATTCTGTCTTTCCTCTTTAATTATTTTAAATGATGGCTATATTCATACTCTTTGAGTTATTCATTTATATGATTTTATTCAATCGCAGAATGGAGGAGTGTTGACGATTGCAAACCCGTCTGCCGCAGAATCCGGGATTTACTTGTGCACAGCGACCTCTCGCCGAGGCTCCGAAGCACAGGCCGTGGTTCGAATTACGGTCAGCTCTTACAGGTAAAACAAAACAAAAATATGCAGAAAAGAGGGTATCGAAAGTCCGTCTCCTTTTCCTCTGTAGTGTACAATATCTCCATTCAGTTTTGTGTCGTTTTTCGATAAACTTATTGCCGTGCAAATGGACCCTTAATTTTGGCATATTTGTTCAGGGGACCGCCGTCGGTTCGGATCGAACCGGAACGTCAGACTATTTCGCAGGGAACGTCGGGCGAGATTCGCTGCATTGCGTCCGGTGATCCGAAGCCTGTGATAACCTGTACATGACTGTTTCTCAAGCTCATTCTTGTTTTAATTCGGCTGCAGCACGAGATATTCCCTACGGATTCTTGACGAGCCCTCTGCTGTATTCATGAAAGACACACGAAACACACGTTCTTGAGTTATTCATTTCACACCCGGAAGCGCTGATTAGGTTTCTCACAATAGTAAAGGTGTAATATAAATATTTCATCGTTATCTGTTGGAAGTTGGATCTCAGGTACGTGGTATAATTTTAAAAAAGTCGTCTTGAATTTGCATGTAGATTCACCGGTGAGGCTGTGTCTTATTGATAACGCTTTCAGTAATTTTAGTGATTCCTCTGTGAAAAATTTTCTCGACCTAAGTAAAAAAGATTAAATGTGAAGAACCAATACATGCAATTTTAGATACAATGCAGGTACAGTATTTATTTTTCAGTTCGGGAGTGTGATTGAATTGAAGTGGACCTTTTTATGTCTTGAATGATCTTGAAAAAATTATTCCGTTTCTTTCCCCAAACTTAGTATCAATTCTAGCTCTGAATTTTCTTGAAACCCTTTTCAAACTATATACATTATCAGTGGAAATATGTCAGCAGGATAAGATCCCGTCCAAAACTAAAAATTAAGTTTAAATAGGGTGATGAAGTAAGAAGAGTAAAGACACGAACTGTCTACACGCATGTATTTATTTTTCAGTTTCAAGTGTGATCGAATTGAAGTGGAGTTTTTCTACCTCTTGAATGCTGGTCTTGAAAAATGCTTGCGTTTCTTTTCAGGAGTTAAAGAGCGCTTCTCGCTGCGAATATTTTCGAAACTTGCTCAACTTTCAAGTCCCATAATCCCAGTCGAACTATATGTCAATATCAGAACGCGTCCGAAACTAAAAATTATATTTAAATAACGCGGAAGCTTAGTCTTACTCCGAGAGCCGCTTGCGGAAGATCGATAGAATTGCATTGACAAAATTTTAATCGAATGACGAGACACTCCACAACAATGTTTTTTACTGCAATCGATCCGCGATAAATGGTTTAGAAGTAAATGAAGGTAACGGTTTGGTGCTTCGTCTTTCCTTATGGTGTTTTGTAATAGAATATAACATTGTTTCTCGCTCTGTCTATAGGTAAGCAATTGCATTAAGGCGCTCTCTGCACTACGTTCGAGAGTGGAGGCTACGTATAGTTCAACACGCTGTAGCTTTCTGTGGAATCAGTGAAGATTTAGCGTTGAAATGCTACCGCGTGTGAACATGAATAATTTTTCCAATGGATTAGTTTTCAGGTTCATGATTTAAAATTTATTAATGTTTTTTTATTCCGAAGAACAGTGGGAAGCTCCCGTAACGCTCGAAAAATAACTAAATGTGCGATGGCTTTCTCAAAACTTCTTGTCAATTGCCAAGAATTCCTCGCTGAAAATGAATGGTACTACCGTACATATTTACTGTACTGTATATATAATTTTTAAAATAAATACAGGATATGTGTATGCTAACGGTGCCCTTGCCTGGGGGTTTTATATGTGTATGCTGGTCATTGCACTGTTTGTTATTCATAAAAAATAACTTGTCCCTTCCCGCAAGAAAGGAAGTAAAGTGAATAGAAATGTGTGCGTCATTTTTGTACACCATTTCAGCAGATATCCTTAAAAAAAATGGTACTTGAGTCGATTTTTCTATTACTTCATAGAATGGCTCTTTCAGCGAACATCAAGCAATACCCAAATTTCTAAACACTACACAATGAAACACACGTCCATTCGAAGACAGCTTTTAATAATTCCTGATGATTTCCCTGGTTCTAAAATAAGAAAAATACTGTACCTATGATCGTTTCTATCGGAATCTCCCGATCATTTTAAGAGACGTTGCGGAATTTTTCCCGAATTCGAAACAGCAACCAGCAGCGAATGTTAAAAACTGATGAGGAATCGACTGCGTTCGCTGATGAAATGTGTTGGTTATTCATCGGACTTTTTAGAAAACCCCTTAGAAATGAGAATAGAAAGAATGATCCTGCAATGTTTGACCAAAGAATTACAAATCGATGCCAATTCAGCCGGCGGTGATGTGCAACTCGGTGCTCAACAGCTCTCGAATCGCTCACGTGCTCGCCTTGTTCTATATTTTCTCCATTTATTCCTGTTTTCAAGCCGCTGTCTATTTATTTTTATTTTTTCTATTTTACTTCTTGCAGCCTGAGGGCGCGGTTTTAAGGATTACCACCGTATTGGTCCGAGATCGAGGGATGTACGAGTGCTCAGCGGAAAATGCCGGAGGAGTCGCTAAGGGATACGGGCTTCTGGAAGTTGAACGTAAATTCTCTTCCTTTTTTTATTTTCTCTTTACTACGGGAACCCCTATTTTTTATACCCCCAGATGTCTTCTGTTTTTGTTGTCGTTGTGAATTTTGCCAATAACTGCTAACCCCTTCTGGCATTTCAACCGGTTCTACACTGTTGGCTTCTTGAATTAATTGTTTTAGTGCCTGAAATGTCATTATAAGCGCTCGTTTCGTGTTCACGAAAATCTTTTTTGTTGTAGATGAAGTCAATTTCGAAGCTACTGGAATTAGCAAGGGAAGTGGGCAGCATTTAGTGATGCACATTTTCAAATACAGGTGGACTCTAAACAAAGTTTTTTATCTGTAAAACGATTTTTTTCTCTATACCAACGGTATTCTCAGCATCGAAATTCTCTGAACAAAAATTGTGTCTGGTCCCTTGATTTTTGTTGCAGAGAAAGAGAGTGTCCACCTGCATTATGTGCTGACATTTTGGAAAAAAGTCTTCATTGAATCAATTTCTCGCAATAAATCACGCTGAATTATAAATCTCAAAGTTGAAAATGGTTAAAATTTGTTTGATCCAAGCATGGGGAAACTGAGCTGCTTGCTCATCAGAAATGTCTCGAGCCGAAGGAAGCAACAAATTATTTCAGCCGGGAATAACCTACAGTATTTTATAAACTGACGCCTACTGTATATTCAAAATATTTATTGTGTTTTACTCTATAGTCGATAAATTTCAGAAGGACTACGCTGGTTCTCAAGTTGACTAATTCCAGCGTAAAGTTTATTTTTTGGGGGAAGGGATCGCTTAAAAAAAAGTACGTCCTTGGAGCTGAAGTTTGCAGAATATTTTAGGTTCCGTATGTTCGCGTGTCATTCCACAAAGTTAAATATAGTTCTGTAACCCGGTTTTACCTCGTTTTTGAAAATAACGCTGTTTTATTTATGAAAAAGGTCGAGAGGCGCCTGTGATAGAAATGAATCCAGCGGCGACCCAGAACACAATCGACGGGGCGAGTGTTTTATTCCAGTGTCGAGTCACTGCTGGGATCCCTACTCCAAGGATAATATGGAAACGTGCTGATGGATCTCCTCTGCCCACCAACAGCGAAGTTCTTCAAGGAGGCGTCCTCAGGTTGATTCTTTTTAAATTGCTCATGAAGTCATGATATATCAGTATCATGATGATAAAAGCCACCTAAAATCGTAAATTACTTGAAACGGTAGTGAAAAGGATGTCTGATTCACTTGCGCAGTCCGCTTTTTTCGCCGCATTTCAACCAGAATTGGGGCAGTTTTGGGGGTGGTCGCAGATTATCATAAAAGAGAATCTGCATACTTTCCCTGACTTCCAAGTGCTCTATAATCAAATTGAAGAATTTCGCTTTATTGTAATTGTAAAAAATGCTATTAGTGCGTCACTCGTCGAACATTTCGTCCGCGTGTGTGATTTCAGAGTTGATAATATTTTATAACATTATTCCTGGAGAAAGGTTCACGTATACCGAGCTCGTGAGGAAATTTAGCAAAACTTTTTCGCAGTGATGCTTCTGAATCATCAATCGTTCACAAATAATATATTGAATGTTCAAAGATCAAAAATTCAGAAAGGAAGGAGTTCAAAATTCGCATACGTCAAGAGTTCGAATTGTTTGATCCAGAAACGGTGAAATTTTTCAAAGAAGGAAATTTAGCAAAACCTTTCTAAGCTGAGGATTCTGAATCATGAATCCTTAAGAAATAATGCATTTTAATGTTCAAGGATGGGAATTTAAGAAAGGAAGGAGTTCAAATATTTCGCATATGTGGAGAGTTAGAGTTTTTCAATCCAGACACTGTGAAAAGTATTCAAATCCCTGGAGAATTTTTCGAATAAGTGCGAGAATCAGGTCATCAATGATTTTTAAAACAAATGGTGGTGATTTTTTCACGAGATCAGCGAGGAAATTTAAAATACCGCGTGCATCATTAATGTTAATTATAAACGCATTACCTGTCATTTCTCACTCCAGACCTTCACGCCTTTAAAAATAGCTGAAAATAGTCAAGATTAATTAAGTCGTCGTCGGGGAACTTCTAACGCTGGTAAATTGAAGGAAAATGAGATTTAAACGTGGACTGGTGTGTATGACGTAGGTTCAATCAAGTACAGGGACCAGAGCAAGGGCAGTACTTGTGCACCGCGGAAAACGTGGCTGGAAGCACGTCAGCGATCGCTACGCTGAATATTCAGGTAATTATTGTATATATCTCTGGGGAGAAGAATCCAGTGATCTTCCAGTTGAAACACGTCACTTTATTATATTATCGATATATTTTCAATCCTAGGGTCGACCTGTCGTGGAAATTTTGAACGACAAGCCTCTTATGACGGCTGAAGGTTCAAGAGTCGCTCTGTTGTGTCGAGCATCAGGCAATCCACCACCGACAGTGTCGTGGAGACGTTACGACGGAGGACCTCTTTATTCGTAAGCTAATTTTTGTCATTTTTGAATGAGACATTACGAAGATTTCCAATGAAGGCTCTACTTATTTGGACTCAATTTTGGTATATGAGAATATTTCTGCTCAGCTTCCCTGCCACGTATGTATTCAAGTGAAGATAACTGGCTACAGCTTCAAAAAACGAAATAATTTTCTGTATTTGAGTAAGGTCAAGTTTTGTTAGCTTTAAAGAATAATGGTCGGAATATTATGAGCCTTATCCGAAAAATGATTCTTAGCCCCAACATTTTTTTTCTGGAAGATTTATTTCCTTGATTTCCATTATGAACTTTTTTGGGCTTCTCAAATTCAACTTCCTCGTAAATCTCGTTCATCGTTGTAAATCCTTTCAATAAACCTCTCGTAGGCTTAATTTCATTTATTTTCTCTTGAAATTTAGTCATTGCAATGGGGCGAATTCACTAAAAGCATTTATACGCACCTCCACAATTTTCAAAATGCGAGTTTCAATATAGTATTTCATGCATATTCAGGTGGACTCTCTCTACAATGAAACTCACGGGACAAAAAATCTTTATAGAGAGTACCGGTATTTTGTAGCAGTTGTCCATTTGTGGTAGAATGAGTTCCTAATTTTTCCGTAATTCGTTGAAAATTGGAGCCAAATGCAATTTCTGAATTTAATCAATCGAAGATAAACTGTCGAGTTCAAGTATCAATTTGGTGATTCGAAGGTTGGCGATGTAATTTTTTCCCGAACGTTAATTTCCAACATTCACACCTATTATATGAGCGTCTTCAGCTGCGAATTCCGCTTCAATTCCGGTTTCGCAATTAATATTCAGATCACGAAAACTCCATCCCGGGGATGATGAGCATCTTCGGAATAAATTAGAGCGTACTATTTGTGTTGTTTGACCGTCTCCAGCGCAGCATCTTGTGCTAATTTCTCTCTGTCTGTCTCTCTCTCGCTCTTTCTCTTTCTTTATATCTCTCTCCTCTCTCTCTCTCACACCACATATGTGCGTGAATCTTCGCATTTTGCAGGCAAGGATCAGCAGGCGGGGCGCCGCAATCAGCGCAGTACATGATCGAGCGAGTGACGCGAGAGGACGAAGGCGTGTACGTTTGTTCTGCCCGGAATCAGGCCGGCGAGGCGGAAGATCGATTGAACCTGATCGTGGAACGGGCCCAGAGGCCGGAATTACCCAACATGCCACCTTACAGACCCGAGGAAACCCTGAGGATTGATCAACCCGTTTTCGTGGTCCTGCATGGCCATCGCGCCGAAATGACGTGCAATATCATCGCCGACGGTTTGTTTTACCCTTCTTTTCATTATAGTTCTTGCATGCAATTTTTTTTAATTCCTGGTCATTTGCATCACCCGATACAACACGTTTAATGGATTTCAATTGATTTGTTGAATGCTGTCCGTCTGCCAAAAAAGTCCATGAATAATCGACGATGGAAAAAGGAGTAATTGGTTGGAGACCGAAAAAAAAAGCCTCGATGAGTGAGGAACATAATATAGGGCTGAATTTATATATCATGGCTTGATATCCGTTCTTTAAATGCTTGCAAAATCCTTTCCGCAAATTATTGAATGAAGTGATATTATAATTGAATACTGCAGGATGTTGAAAAAAATTGTCAATAAGAAAAATCCTCAAAAACAGAGATACAGTATGCCTAATTCCAACGAGAATTAGAAAGTAAATAGTCATCTCCCTAATTTAACGTATTTCTTTGTGATGTAAACGTCCATTTTTGATTCAGTATTTTTTATCGAAAAATTTGATTACCGCGTCGATGAATGTGAATCCCTATATAGAGGATTTCTGATTTGTTCGAAATCCATCCAAGCTTCTCATTTGAGGAATATGAAGCTTTATGGAAAGTTTACTCCTTTGCAGCTTCCTTTGAAGTCCCCTGAAAACCTGCTCTCAATGAATTATAAGATACATTCATGTTAATACAGTAATTTAGACTTTTAGGGAATAACAAAATGTTATAAAGTAGCATAAAAGCATTTAAAAATGCTCAAAACCGAAATATATAAAAGAAGGTGATCGGATTTTTTGTGCATACATTTTTACAAATATAGTCTTTATTTCCACTGTCTTTAGTTAAAAGTCATCATCTTCGGAAAGTATCAGAACGTTTGTGTTTGACCTTTATTCGTCTTGTGGCCGAAAAGCCACATAATTTTAATTTTTCCCCTGAGACAACTTTCTTCGAGCTCTACTTGATAATCTTTGAAGACATTTCACTAGAGCCTCTTCACTGATGGTTATTACGGTGATTTTTTCGAACAAAAGCAGAAACTTTTTTAATACCTGCCATAAAGTCTTCCAACCAAAACAGATTTTGAGTGTCTGCAAATTTTTTTTTACTTTGCAGGTCTGCAAAAAATTTTTTTCCGGAAATTTCCCATTCCACAAAACATTCAATGGAAATTTTTTTGTTTGTGGGACCAAAAAGGGTTGGAGAACACTAATGTATACATACTGTATATAGATGTTTAAATTGGATATAATATCGTGGATAATTTCGAAAAGTTCGTGTTGACGAATTTTGACCCCGGTGTGCCTCATGTTCCTCAGATTCCCCCGGTGTGAAATATACGATAAATTGGCGTCGTGCGGACGGGAAACAGATGAACCGGAACCACCGCATTGTCAACGGGACCTTGTACATAGAGGAAGTCCTGCGAGACGACCAGGGAGTTTATGAATGCTACGTGCTCAACAATGGCGTGGAATCCAAGGCAGCTGTTCGATGTCGTCTCGAAGTTCTGGGTAAGTTTCCCTTCATCCCTAGGATCCATCAGAATAAAGCACAAACACATTTCATCTAATGCGAAGGTGTCTTCGGGAGAACCCACGAGGGTGAATTGCGCTTCTTCTACGTATGAATATATACAGCGGGGTGTAGGCGATTTTTCGTCTTTACATGCGGGTTATTTTTTGGGTTATATAACTGCATATATACACGACGGCTTATCGTCTTTGAAGGAAAAAATGTATATTTCCGCCAAGATGTTTTAAAAACATTTTGTTTTTTGACTACGAATATAAAATTCAGTATTACTTGATCGAGATTTTATGTATTGCGCTTTTGATGCGACGAAGTCATACTTTCGAATGAATGTTTTCTCGTGCTGCTTACTTGAACTTACAAGGAGATGGATGTACGATTGTGACAGGTAAGTCATTTCAGTTCCACTGTTGCTATTATAATCTTGGAATAATTCTGCTTTAGCTTAATAAATTCACCTAAATTTTTTTTAAAGCGCGTCTCTACTGTTTCAGTTTTGCTTTTGTGAAGACATTTTTATACTCTCCTCGTTTTAGTTTACTTGAAAAAGTATCACAGTAAAATACTGCAGTCACTACGCATGCAGTTCATGGGGTTATATAAGCTTATTTAGTAACTTTTTTCTAAATTTACCATGAAAAGGCATGTTTCTTGTTTTAGTTTTGCTTTCCTAGAGGCGTTTTTATGCTTTCCAATTTTTAGCTTATACTTGGAGCTTCAGAAAATTCTGATTACAAACGTTGGGGCCAGTAAAATATCTTCGGTAAAGCGGAAAATTTGGGGTAGGCGAACTTGAATAACATTGCAGCTATTGGAAAGGGATCTAAAAACAAATTCATTGTAATCGACCATTCGTTATAAAGAGATCAGTTGTAGTGAGATTCTGTTGGAGTGGATTAATTTACGTACCTCTGGTTTTGTCTTTCCTTTTACGTCAATTTAACATGCGTTAGCCATTAAAAATTCAACTGAAAATCAGGGAATAAAATGGTCGTGTTTTCTTAGCGTGAGGAGTCTTTTCAATAAATTCATTGGATGTGTTTTTTATTCAAAATCAGTTTACTTTGTATAGCGCTGGTCAGACGTATCATCCAATACGTTTTAGTCACTACCGTATTTTTTGCTAAATAATTTTTTTTTATTCATCTCTTGAGTCAAAAACATGAATATATCCTTGCCTCCGTTTCAAGACCTACTTCTTGATGTTGAACTTCGTTCAGGTTTTAATTTATTCGACTTCAATTGTGACCTGGAAAGAGTACGCGGGGTCAGCAGGGATCCGCTCCGAGCGGGGGCGGATCCACGATGCACGTACTTCTTTAAACAAACAAACGAATGAATAAATAAATAAATGTCCAATTTATTTGAAGAATTCAAAGGCTAATCTAGTATATTTACTGTGATCCACAACAGCACCACCGAGCGTTGATCTTGTGCCATCGAAGCAGACGGTGCGTCCAGGTGACGACGCATCCATCTCGTGTGTTGCTCGCGGAGATGAGCCCATCAAGAAACAATGGACACGTACAGATGGAGTCATGAGTTCTCGAGTCAAGACCGCCAATGGTCGAATCATGGTCAGCAAGTAGTTTATTGCGTTGGCAGCATTCCGTTTTTTTTTCTTTCTTTGTGAAATATTTTAGATTCGGCAATGAGTTGTATGCGATAATCATTTTTGAAATTTGCGGTTCATTTTCGTCACGCAGTTCCGGGGTATCCAACTGGGCGATGCTGGAAAGTATGTTTGTACTGCGTCGAATGCTGCTGGGGTGGCCGAAGGGATTGCTGAGGTCATTGTCAATGGTGAGTAGTTTCTTTATATAGAAGATTCAGCAGTTTTTTTTTGTAATTGGGATCACTCATCGTGATATCCGTTTACGACCATGTTTTATTTGTTATTTTTCTGGACTTGAAAATTTATGAAATTTCAACCGTTTGGCATTCAATGGTGCAAATTTTTATGTTCGCCTCGTGGAGGCTGATGAAATTTTGAAGGCAACAATTTAGATATTCGTGATGTGTTGAATTTAATTTCTGCGAGATATAACTCCACAAAACAAAAGTAATCGCAAATTTTATTTTATTTTATTTTAATCTTGCAATTGAATTGCTGAAATTAGTTAGAATCAAGTACCGTCCTTGTTCTTAACAGCGACGAGGAAGCTCTAAAATACATTACATGTAAACTCTATTCACAACAACCTGGTCTACAACGATTTCCTCTGCAAAACGAATTTCATTTTGGTCCCCTGGGGTTTTGTCCTCAAGTTATATGGCGTCTCCAAAGCGGAATTGTATTTACGAAGAATTTTTTATGGTCCCCTTGAATTTCATTGCAGAGAGGGTCCATTTCTATAAGTAATTTATGGCGGGGTTTATGCGAAAATATGAGGTTTCTGGGTCCCGCAAAAAAACAAATAGTGAAGTAAAAGTGCAATCACTTTCCGAACGTGAAAAAGTACAGTACTTGGATAGCATTTTATTAGCATATGTAAGTTCGATGATTTCAAATTAGCGAAGATTTCACAAAGCCCTATACCCTCAATTCAACGCTATATTTGCATTTGTACCCGGATTTTGTGGCTGGATGGGAATATGGGATTCACGAACTTGAACATTTTCAAGAATAGAGCAATGAAAATTGCTAGTGAGTCACTTTGAGAACGATTGGCATGGGGAAGAATTCCGTGAGCAGCTTAGAGACTGCTTATATGTACTTGACACATTTAATCCACAAACAGCTAAAAAAACATTGTGGAAAAAGGAAATCCTCGGATATGGGATTTATATTTATGGAAAAAGACGCGTATGAAACCTTTCCGGGCGATTACGGAATTGCGTTTTTGCGACGTCGGGCAGTGCTGGTGACACGGACATGCATAAATAATTGCGGTGATCCACCTAATCCCCGAAAAATTCCCTATTCATGACCCCTATTGTCGCGATAGTAGACCCCCACTTTGGAGAAAAACTATTTGCCAGATTATCATCCTTTTATGAAAATTGAATTATGTTATAAATTTCTGGTTCCTGTATGACAGCATGACTCTCGGATTGCGCAATCGTTTTAGTGTTAATCCATGTTTAATGTCCTGTATTTGCCAAATTAGATCATTACAACATGTATGTTGGTCACGGCGAGGGAAGCTCCATTGAGAAAACAACATTGAGTTATTCAATGCTGTTTTCCTCGTTCCTTGGTGTTTCCGCTGGTATTTTATTTTATTTTTAACCAGAAATGGAACGAACAATTTTGTTTAATCTTGAAGTAGAAATCGTCATATCTACGAATAGACATTGGTTCTCTTCTGGGAATAGTTCAAATCGGATTGAATCATTCGGAAAGAATGAAATATTTCTACGATCGTTCGACACTCTTGAGTGACGTATTTTTGGAGCTAGAATTATGAATAACGAATGAAGAGTTAATACATTTCAATTGTTTCGCTGTTTACAGCATTGAATAAAGGCAAAATCACTGCAACATTCGAAAAAGAATTTTGTTCTTTACAATCGAGAGCATCAAATTGACTTCGTACCGACGTTTTTAAATTGCGTTGGTCCTCATCGTGTAGATTGTAGATTGTATATATTATATTCAGAATGTCATATTGGTCATAATTTTTAGTGTTTAAAAAAAATTTCCTAAATGCTTTAACCTTGTCTTCTCATTTGAACAGATCAGTCGCCGATTGGAAATTAGAGAACGCGAACCATTGACTTTTCAAATTCTCAGTTGAAAATTTGTCAAGGTTTGAATAAAAAATGTCCGATTTTTATTTTAGGACAGGTACTTTCAGGTATTCTCCATCTTTTCAAATTTATTTTTTTTCAATTTCCAGAGCAAGTTCCGTTCATTTCGGCTGACCAGAATAACGTGAGAACATACGTGGGCTCGACAGCGACGTTGAAATGCAACGTGGCGAGATTGGACAATGCATACCTCGTCGACTGGTCTCGTCAGTCCTTGAGTCTGCCACGAAGTGCCATTATCGATGGACCAACAATGCGATTGAGAAGTGTGCAAATTTCCGACAGTGGGGTTTACATCTGCTCAATTCGGGACCCCGAAACCGGGCGCGAATCCACCGATTCAATCCGACTGGAAGTTGAACGTGAGTTCGCAAATACAGTACTGTTATCCTAAGAGGCGAACCAAGAAAATAGGACTGTAATTTTTTTTCAAATATAGGCAACATCTGTTAAAAGGATTTACCATCGGTCTTTCAACTTTTTAAGTCATAGACGGTGAAGATAATGAAATGAATAATAGTTCTATGCCCATTTGTTTTTGAATTTGCGCGGCTTACGCAAATGACCACGGTAGACTAATCTTACCAAAAATACTTGCATGTCGATGGAACCTATCGTAGAATTCAACATTTTTGAGAAAAGCAAAAATTGAATTATCGTTGGAATGATGTTTGATATTAGGGTCCTTTAATTGCATTACCATGAGCCACAACGAACTTCTGAAAAAATTACGCCCGGCTATTACTAGCAAATAATTATCCGTCAAGTCGGGTTCTAATGCAACTTATTGAGGCATAAAAAATAACTCGCTTTTTTAAACATGAAATTTTTGTGGACTTCTAAATAATGTTTGGTTTTTCAAATCATGTTTTCAAATAATCATGACGAGAATAATCGTTTGAAAAAGCGGTCGTCTTTTCCATAGTCAGGCCGTGTACATAATCTTTGCGTTGTTTTCTTTTGTTTTTGATATTTTTTATTTATTTAAAAACATTTTTTCTGCAGAAATATCGAACATTGCAATTAGAATTACGCCGAGTCAAAGCATCATCAGACAAGGTGATGACATGGAAGTCAGTTGCAGTGTTTCTGGTGATCCATTGGCAACCGTGACTTGGAGCAAAGATGGACAAATGGCTAGTAACGTGAAGGTGGAAAACAACCGATTCATGTCAGTTACAGAAATGATCGTAGTTTTATGTATTTATTTTCTATATGCATTTCTTCTTCACTGTTGTTGTGCAGTATCGACAATGTTCGACTCGAGAATGGCGGCATTTACAGATGCACAGCAACTACGAATGCCGGAACATTCCACGAAGATTATTTGCTTGCCATTCAATGTAAGTACGATTTCGTAGCTAGAAAATTAGATCCCAGGTGTGAATTTAGAATGGTGTATCCTGTTTTCTTTGTTTTAAATGAAACATTGTTTCTTATTGGAACATCAGCATATACACATTCACGAAACTGACATGAGGCACACATTTTTTAGTTCAGAGTTGGATCGATGTTTTAGAAAAGGATTTCCCGGCAGATCTGTTCTTGTTTCTTGGGGTCATTTTTAATTCATTTTTCTCGCTTTCAGGTGCATTTAAGTTATGAATTTTCAGTTGCTTATATACGACGGGTTGTAGTTGGAAAGTCTGGGTATCCTAGCTGCAGATCGCTTAGAACAGAGTTCCCCAACCCATGGTCCGCAGAGGTTTTTTGCTGGTCCACGGGAAAGTTTCTTCAGTATAATAAATTTATCAAAAGTATGAATGAAGTCTGTTATGCTCAGCGTAAATTTTGGGAAGACAATGGCAGATGAAATTATCTGATGCAAAATAAAAGTTGGTCTTTCTCCTAATAACACCAGACAATTTTCACCTGCTGAAATAAATTATATTAATTTTTCTTTGAGAAACTTTTTATCAAGCCCACCGTTTCAATTTTTAAAGACATCCCACTGTACCTGCTTCATTGGTTCTTAACTTCACTTTTGCAACAAAAAAATCAGAAAATTTTGACCCCTTGTATGTGGGAAAGTTGGGATATTTTTGCCACATTTTATCCCCATGAGCTTTGCAAATGTAAAAAAAAATCAGATTTTGTAACCAAGGCCTCAGTCGAGAGAAGGTCCGATATTTTTTTTTATAATCCTGCAGAAAATTTTGCCGCAAAAATTGAAAAAAATTCCTCACTGGGTGGCATTTTTTCATGCACTCGCAGCATAAGATTAGCATAGGGGATTTCCTGAGACAATGGGATTTTCTGAACCCAAATTGTTCCTGACTTAGGCCTTGGAAACCTGGGGGTATTTCAGTGACCTTTTGTCAAACTGAAATGCCCCTTCCCCCAAAGAAAATTCTGACTTTTCTGCAGGACGGCGAGGAACCCTCTGCTGCCTGAGGGTTAATACCTGCCAAAAAGTCTTACAAGCAAAACTTTTTAAGTCTGCAAAAATTTTATGAAATTTAGCTGGTCCGCAGATTTTTTTTAAATTCACCATTCTGCAAAACATTTCACAAAAATTTGCCAATCCATGACGGGCCCAAAAAAGGTTGGGGACACTGGCTTAGAATCATGGTATCATTGCTGTTCTGGGAAGCATAAGGAGATTGAAGACTGTTGCGAGAAACCAACACGAAAGACACACGCGATTCATACATGTTCAACCACGTTTTTACTCAGTACCCTGCGTAGTTTAGACGTCGTAGCGAAAAAATTTGTTCACCGTGGTCCAATAATAATGGAAATAACGAGAATAACTGTTTTTTGTGCATGCGTGTTGTTCCCTATTGTGCGTCCTGTTGGAAACGACTAACCTTCCCCCAAAAAAACCTACGTGTTCGACGATCGTCCGTGGTGTCTGGCAATATTTCTATGGTGAGTCGGGTTTCTACTGGGAGCTGGTGGACTACTTTTTTATTGGTGTGATGTCTCTGGATGGTTATTTCTATTGTTATTTTCTCCTATCATATATTGCTGGTGCTGTGGAATTAGATCAACTATTTATCTTCTCTATTTTTGTTTACCCCGCGTGTTTTTGCTTCCCTTCTCCTGATTACCAACCCGTTTTAGTGTCCGAACTCCGAAGACATCAATCTAGTCATGATTCCATCTTCGGGGGTTTTTGTGATTAGCTTTTTTTCTGTCTCTCCGGATTTTTTGGGGGATTAGTTTCTCTCGGGGTATGGAACGCTGCTTGAAATGCGTGCTAGTTTTTTTTTTTATTGGAAAGAAGTTAAATGCAAGGAATGGTATCACAAAGAAGAATTCGAATAACTTTTCAGAGAAAAGTTGCATTATACGCACTTTTGCCTTCGAACTGCCTCATATTTTCGAATAGAATAATTTTATTGCACCTCTTCTCAAATAAATCGGTTTAAAATTACTTGCTACAAAATTTAAACGAGTCATAAAAATCGTGTAAATTTCGAATTTGAATTATTACTTTTTCCGAGTTAGAAATGAAGGATATAGTTATGCTGTACATATTGTAGTTCCTTTCTGAGAAAAGTGAATATATAGCCTTGGGTTATAGTTATATTCGAATGATCGATGAGACTAGTAACCAGCGAGTTTGAAACGATTTTGCTTCTATATACAATTCAACTTTTAGATTTTCGTTCAACAGAAACATCGAACAAAGATGAATTTGTTTCTTTGGAGAAGGAATTGTTGCATGTTAACATTGAAAATTTGGCATGTAAGTGATGCGTCAAAAAAGGGTGTGGTCTGCGATTTGTAAGTTTTTGTTTTGCTCATTACGTCGCTGTTTAGGTCAATAGTACATCAAAAATAGAACGAAAAATTATTTCGGAAAATTTTGAAGCCAATTTTAATGGATATTTTGGAGACCAGGTCTATTTTGTGCGTTTGACAAAAGCTTTTCTTTCTTATTTCCGAACTTGACGTGGCACAGATTAAAAATAAATAAATACGGAATTATTCTTCTGTTCAGAAATATGTTTACGCTGGCACATGCGAAGGTAATTTTCTCTGATGCCTCAGAAAGCCGTTATATTCTGCGGTTCTAAAGTTGTATTCTTCCCTGAAAAAATTTTTCTGCAGATTAAATCGTTACGATAGAAGAAGAATCTTGTCGAAACGAAATCAAATATTTTACCCACTGACTCATTCATCGCGGCTGACGTGGAAGGAATGAAATGATCTACTCGGAGATAAAAATGTATCCCGCGTTGCTGCGATAAAAGTTTTGAAAGTATTTCGCCATCATGATATATCAGGCCCTTTGTGGAGTTGGATTCAAATGCTCTGAACAGCAAAAAATAAATAAAAAATAAATACCAGGACGAGCTGGGAAAGTGTCTTATAAATGGGATTCGCTCCGAATTCCTAAGGGGTTGCAGAGCCCAAAAAATGTTGTCTCTTCCTGGAGACCAGCGGGGGTCTGGGAATATCATTCTAGACAACCGGCTGTGCCCCCCTCAACCTCATTCGATGTGTAGTTGTACTGTAGTACAAATGGTTCTCGGTTGAAGGTTTCTCATTCCTTATCATTGTCTTGGACGACCGTAGTTTTCGTTGCTGGTTCCGTAGCTCCTAATGACGCGTTGTTTCGTCTATCCTGTACGTATAAGGACAAGTTCCTGAGCATTTTTCGTTCCGCTCAACGAAAATGATTTTATTTTCTGTATATAGAACGACTGCCGTCTTTCCCTCGTTATGCTTTATATACTGGAGCGTTCAAATCCGATTGCAAATTGCTGGAAGACTTGATGATTGCTTTCTTGATGTGCTCTTCAAACTCTTTTTTTTACTGCGCTATTGCTGTACTTGTAGTTTTTTTTTGCATAGAAATGTTGAGGCTATTTGTCGCCATATATTTTAGTCAAAAGTAACGAACCGTTGAGTAGTGGAAAATGTTCTGCCAATATCTGACGTATTTTTACAAATTTCGATCACTTCTTCGAGATGCATAAAAATTGTCAGAACGTACTAAAAAATAACTTTTTTAAATTATTCAAGATGCGCGATCCCATGCTTCACAGTTTTCCAGAATGTTTTTTTTTTTGCATTGTGAGGAAAAGGTTGTGCCAATTTTGAAAGATGAAATCTCGAGTCACAACGGATTTCAGTAGAAGATCCTTCCAAGTTAGATGTACAGTACTTGACTAGCGGCCCTTAGAAAATCGACTGAATTAAAAAGTTATTGAATGCGTTTTCTAGTTTAAATCATGGAACTCGTTTTATATTTTTAAAAATAATGCTTATACAATACGGTAATTCTTGTTCAAACGTAGAAAATTGATAGATGAATACCATGGGCTGCATTCGTCATTTAGGTGTTCGGCAAAATTTTCGACTATCCGAAAAGACAGTATTATGCATTTTAAATCACGGCATGATCATTTTAGGGATTCAAAACCACGGAAAAGTTAGCCGTAGGATCGCGAAAATACAGTATATCTCACGTATCTATTTCGTAGTTTTGTTTAGTTTTTTTAAATATAGATCAGCCTTCAAATTTCTCAACGATTTGAATTACGTTAGGGCTTCACTGAACATATTCCTCTTCGGAGGCAGTGGAATATCGAGAAAAAAAAAGTTGAATTTTTTGTATAAGTATAAAGTCGCATTTATTTAGTTGCTCAATTTTCCTTGTGCTGTAAAATATGTGAATATTGACAATCCAATTTGTGTAAAATATGTGAATATTTTTCGGGGCAGTTTTTGCAAGTTCACTTTTTCCCCACATCAGCGACTCCTGAATTCCCAATGGATGCGGAACAACTCTCAGTTCAAACCAGAAGTTCGCCATACGGAGCAAAAGTTGCATTGGACTGCAAAACGTCTCTCGAACCGCCGGTCGCCTATGTGTGGTCGAAACAGGATGGTCCTTTGCCCAAACATTCAGTCAATTCCGGGGTCAGTATCAAGCTTTATTTTTTTTGCCTTGTAAAAAAATGCAAAAAACGACGACATCATGATTGAACATATTTTTTCCCTTTTGCAGTCAAGATTGACAATTCAATTTGTGAAGGCTGAGGACGCCGGGACTTATGTGTGCACTGCTCGCAGCAACGGAATGACTGTCGACATCCCGACGATCCTCGTCGTCACTGGTGTCGTTCCTTTCTTCGTCCAGGCTCCTTTGTCGTACATGCAATTCAAGACGTTACCCGAGAGCTACAAAGCATTCAAAATTGAGATCTCCTTCAAACCTGAAAACCCCAATGGTTCGTATGCGTATTTTTGTGAATATTTCGAGTTGGGCAAGGTTTTTATGGTTATGGTTGACTCATGGCTTCTGCTGATACTCGTGTTATATTCTCCAAGTTGGACATCATTTTTGTATGGAATAATGATTTCATAAATTAATCCGAGACCTCGTCTGATTTACACACCTATAAGGCTGGAGTGGTGTATGAAGAGGAACCCAAAAGTTTCAAGCCTACAGAATCACTGTAAAAATTAAGTGATATCGATATTTACAATTTCTGCAAAATTTTAAAACTTGCAGGTATTTTGATCATACCTAACTATTTAAAAAAAAATCTTGAAGACAATCATGTGACGAAGACTCCGTCGAATTTTCGAAATGTTTTTTCGGTAATCATTGAAAATGCGCCAGTTTCCGGAATATGAATTTTTCGCTGCTCAGTATAAGTTATATTCTTGAGAATCATCCGTGTCAACAAAAATCGCATAGTCCATTTTCTTCATTGATCCCACATCTTTTCTATAAAAATTCTAACTCAAAGTGAAACAAAACTCGATTTTTCGGTCTATGCAGAAAAATTTTTCGATCATCGAAGGCTTCCCTACGACGAAATATTGGCATATTTCAGCCATTTTGATATTTCAATAACAAAATCATTTAGTGTACGTCGGAGAGAATCGAAAACTTTCGAACAGACTGCGGGATTAAAAGCATGAAATCACGAATCGATGCAAGGATTATATGCAGTAGTATCAAAGTTCGCACCATTTTCTAAATGAATTCTGCTGCTCCCGAAGGGTTCGTGCGAGATTAAGCGGAATTGGTACTGAATGAACTTTTAATGCTCCGAGTACTAATTGTGGTTCGTGGGTGATCGCAGGACTGATCCTGTATAACGGCCAGACGTCGAACGGAGTCGGTGGGGATTTCATCTCGTTCGGTTTGAACGACGGAGTGCCCACATTCCGGTACAACCTTGGATCGGGTCCAGCGGTCATTAGAGGGACCAAACCCGTCAAAATGGGCTCGTGGCACACAGTTACTCTCAACAGAAATGGAAAGAATGGAAACATGATTGTCGACGGTGTCGGGCCTGTCGTCGGCGTGTCTCCTGGTCGACACGAGGGACTCGACCTCGTGGAACCCTTGTTCCTTGGCGGCGTTCCGGATTTCTCCAAGATCAACAAGCTCAATGGGTTTGAATCAGGCTTTGTTGGTGAGTAAAAGAAAAAAATATATATATATATACACATTATGCAATGAAAAGAGGTTCTCTCTGCTATGTAATTAGACCTACGTCGTTTTTCTCGAAAAAAGATTGACTTTTATCCGCGAAATTTTCCTCTCCGGCATTGTTTCCATTAGAATTTCCTCCACGTGATTTCATCGCTAGGCGTCAATGAAGTCATCATATTCCGCACTATAAAAGTTTTGTAAACGGTGAATTTTACTCATATGTGCAGATGTTTCACCGGAAATATGAGCTACAAAGGAGAATAAAATTATTTAGAGGTATATTTAGAA